TTTCCTTTTGCAGGACGGACCTGCTGCTGTCAAATCATGAAAGTGGCCGTGCTGACAGAGCATGCCAGATGGAGCATTTGAATTAGAGGCTTGGGAGTAGAGCGGGAGGGGACAGAAGGCAAGCTTGCGAAACAAAGGAGGATGAACACAACAGGCCCCAGGGATGAATTTTCTCACTTGATGCATTTGTTGGTGCTCACTACTGTTTTCTTCAGCAATGAGCTGCTCGAAAGGTGGGCTAAGATGTTACCTTATCGATGCGGCAAACATCGATACGGTGATGCACGGATGGTGGCAGAATTTGCGCAGAATATGTGAAATCTTCAGAACCTGCAGAATCTGCAGAATATGGGCCGTGGGATGGGGGGATTGGGTTTTTTATACTCCAAAAGAAAGCAGGTCGTATGACCTGCCCTCATATGCCCTTTGTATGTACAAAGGGCACACCTCATTTACCAAGTGTGTGTGTGGGACTCTCTTCCATGTTGCATATAGAAGATGTAGAGTCTCCCAGCACGAGATAATGAAGAAACAGAACAGCAGCTCGAATTCAAGGGGGGCAGTGGGAGCTCACCTTGCCGTCCTTTTGGCGTTTGACAAGACAAATTCGCCCTTGCAAGTAGATTTAGTGAAGGTTCTTTGCTCCTTTTCATGGGCTCGTGCAGGTCAACTCGAATTACTATCCTTTGCATGACATTGCCGACCCAGTTTTGTCGGTGGCTGTTGAGTTCAACTCGAGAAACTGCTCTGCTTTCGGGAAGGTTTGGTCCGCTGATGATTCTCTGTCCAATGGATTTTCATGTGCTGGTATTTTCACAGGCCGCGCCTCGCCAGCACAACAGCGGGCCAGCATGGGGCCGACATCATCAGGAGACACGAACCTATTTTGGTTCATTCTATTATCCGTGAGGACAAGGAAATGCGGATAGACAGATAACCTTGCGGCTGGCCGATTCCACTAAATCTCTTTGCTTGCAAGATCTCCCCCTGCAGGGAAGGGCATTTCGCAGTTGCAAAATCCGTGAAACAAATATCCGCCCCATTCTTATGGATCCGAACAATTAGGGGCCTTTACACCGCCATGGCGCGCTCTGCTGGGGTGGCACCAGGCCTGCACATCCTGCGATGGGACGGGGGAGGCATCGGACACTGAAGTACGATGTAATATCTCGGAATCGAAACGAAAACATCTGCCAGCGCAGCACAGGCAACCGCGAGACTACGCTAGTCCCTCTGTCTTCCGCGAAGACCGTTCTTCCGATGAAAAGGCCAACGCGGGTCAGTGGGTCAGTGGTTTAGGGTTTAGGGGTGTCCGAAACAAGAAGGAATCTTCACGGAAGGCAGAGCGACCAATTGGGCGCCGCAATCGCCCACCAGCGGGAAGGCAGTACCGTACCTCCCGGTAGTTTCCCGGCCATCCGGTGCGCAGATCCCCGCAATCAGGGGGCCAGCAGCCACTCCGCAGTCGCCACAAACCGAAGCCGCGGCCCCCCATGCCAACCGCAACCGCACGCACCCAACTTCCTCGAACACGGCGGGCCGCTCCACTGACGCTCGGCCACACTCCCACCTGCCTCCCGCCTTCAACTTCGAGTCCTCTTTACACCGGATCCCCTGTTGGGTGCAAGCGCTCATCGGTCCGTGGGATCCGCTCAAGACTGGGGGTGGTGCGCGTCGCGGCCATCTGGGCGATCGGGGCGATCGGCGGGGCCAGCGGGCGGCGAGTTTTGGAATGGCGTCGGCGGGGCAGAGGCGGATCGCGGAGGACTTGAAGGCGGAGGGCAACAGGCTGTTCGGGATGGGGAGATATGACGCTGCTGTGAACGTGAGCTGGTGCTGAATTCCATTTTGTCTTGATCGAGATTGCTTCAGCGCTTTTCGAATTGGAGGTGCCGCTTCGCCGCAAACAGGAGAGATGTGGGCAGCAAGGAAGCATGGACATCAGCTGCAGTTGCCGTTGTTCCAAATAGAAGAGATGACGGCCTTTGCCAGTGGTTTGTTGATGGTTCCAGTCAGATACTACAGACCTGAATATGAGCAATCTTGGCCGGCCCAGTGAATGTTCCCTTTGATGTGGTGCTCAGATGTCCTTGATGTGATTGGTTGATTGATCGATGATGTGACGGATATGGATGTGAGTGGGGTGGGGAACAGCAGCAGGCAGGTGTTGTTAAATAGTTGAGTCCATTGGGAGATATATGCACAGAGTGGTTATCCACTCTGCAGATTCCTTATCTGTTGCTCTCCAATTCGCTGGTGCGGTGCGGCTGCCAGGATTTGTGCACATGCCATTTATGTGGTGGGAAAACGATGGACGATCCTGATGCCTGCTTTCACAAGAATTCTGCATTCCTCTCTGCTGATTTGTGCTGCTTACCCCCTGGGCATATGGTGGTTGAGCCACGTGCTAGAGGTAAAAATCTTTTGAATAAGTTTCAATCGACTGAAGCAGCCCCACACTCCAGGCCTTGCTGAACACGGTTGCAACTCGTGGTTGCACAGAAAGACAGGGTTGTCGATTGTAAGCTGTGCTTCTTTGACATACACCCCCTTTTTGATTTTGGTATTTGACAATACATGCACAACACTGTAGTTGGCATTGGCCCTGTGCATCCTCAAATAGGCAGTGGCTTGTAGATTCGACCTTGTGTTTGGAATCCAACAGTATGTGAACCTGATGCAAAACCATTGAAGGGGTTTGGTGCATGTTTTCAATGTATGTGCTTCTGTGTGTTCAGAAATACACAGAGGCTCTTGTGCTGCTGCCAGATTGGACAGGTGGGATCCAAATCGCTTTCAGTTGTGGTGTTTGGCCCTTCGACTGCAAAACCTTGTTTTCTTCACAATCGACACATCCTCATGCCGTTGGCAGGACAATCTTTCTTTCATCTCAACCCTGTTATTTTGCCAATTATGTTGATGCCATCGCCAACAGCGAACACTTGACAGCATTAAATTGGCTCCCAAACCAGGTGCACATTAGATAGGTTAGCAATGCCTATTGGGCATGTATTGTGCAGCAAAATTAGGAACAGAAGTTTACCCCATCAGAGGTGGGCTGTTGCAAGTGGAGAGCTCTGCTTAGCAGATTTCTTTGCTTATGGGGAAACATAATGGTGCAACACCCAGCGGAACAAACTAAACACCTCCGGTGACACCTTTCAAAAATCCACCTGTACCACAAAGAAGGAGCCAAGAAGCTCCAGGACGTTGGATGCAGGCGCTTTCTTTCATCACATCAGAAAGTGTGTTGATGCAGTGCTACATGGGATGCAGGCTGTTCCAGTCATCACATCAGAAAGTGTGTCGTTGCATTGCTTTATGCCCTGAGTCAGAGTTGCATTATCAAGAATTGTTCTTTTTGTCTTGACTTTAGTGGCATGGTGGTGCTGCGCAGTGCCCATGATTAATCGTGCAAACTGTCACAAAAAGAATGGCAATTGGGTGGGGGTGGAGCAGGATTGTAGAAGCGCCCTGGAAATTAATGCCAAAGAGTTCAAGGTGAGGCTGCTTGTCCCACCAGCGCCCGTCGTTCTCTGCAGTGCTTTTTATGTTAAGCTTTGGAAACCAGTGGTTCTTGTTTTCACAATGTCTTGCACTCTTGTCTGCATATTCAGGACACTGTTCCAGTCCTTGGGACACCTTGCACAGTGTTTGATTTCAGGACCCTTTGCAAAGTTCAATATCTATTGCCCCATACGCTGTTTGGAAGATGCTCACATTTGCAGAGATCAATGGCATTTGTGACAGGGAAAAAGCTGCTCACCTTCTTGAACCCCATCTGTTCTGTGATAATTGTTGAGTTGAGCAGAACACATTAGGGCCAGGAGGGGAAACTTCGAGTGCACTTTCTTACCTGTTTCAGCGGCTGATTTTGCAACCCAGAACTGAGAATGTGCAGCAATCGTGTACAAGCATTTGCAAGGCACCTGCACGACCACAGCTGTCCTCCAGCGATGGGGCAACTGAGATATTATTTGGTGTGCTCAGTACCCCCAACAAAAAAAAATAGTCTTTGATAGTTCTGTAGTGTCTAGCGTTCTGGGCAAACAGAGAGTGTGCACGGGACATGTCAGTATTGGGTGCTTATTCTGCACCAGTTCTAGGAGTATCTGTTTCGCTAGAATACACCCATCACTTTGGGGCCTGCACAACCATACTCCCTGGAGAACCTGCCACCCAGTGTTGCGAGTTGGAGCTGCTGCTCAAACTTGCAAAGAGGGTTCCCTGCTTTGCAGACCCACACCTTTGTAATACTTGTGTACCCCGATTTTTGCAAAGGTATAGGGGTATCCATGGCTGAACTACAACAAACATACAACAGTAGTACATTCCAGTTCCCATAGCATCGAGACTCTGTTAGGCACATAAGGCAGGCTGCAAAGTAGCACGAGCAGCATTTGTCCAGTCACAATGAGCCGATGAGTTGTCCACGGTAATAGGGCTGCTGTACATTAGCACCATCGCAAACAAGGGACAAGCCACAGCACCATCACAGCCCAATTCGATGATGCTGCAGCCTGCAACTGACCTTTCAGCACTGGTTGCAGGCACACTACTTCTTGGGGCAGGCACTGGAGCAACAGAACTTCCATGTGGAGGCTGTGTCTCATCTTACTAAGGTAAGTCTCTGGCAGCTGCTGTGGTGGTGCATTGCTGCAGCAGCGGCACACTTCCAGCCATATGTGCTACCAATGCTGTGCTGCAGTGATCACAAGTCACAGCAACCTTGGAGCTTCGTTTTTGTCGTTGGGCTCCACATCAGCAAGGATGCGATGATGGAAGGTTGAGATGCTCAACTTGTTTTGCTGTTGGCTCCTTGCTGTTGCATACTTGCGTTCTTGCCATGCCAAAGGTGACTGGTGCTTGGACATGTCCACAGTTGGCAAGGAATACGCAGTCCAAAGACAATGTACTTGATAGACAATCTATGAAGTTGCAGTCCAGATTGGTGGATGATGAGACAGTCGGTGGCCAGGAGCAGTCAAGAGCTGTGGGCACAACCTTCAGCTCCCTGCAGTCGGTATTTCAGATGCATATGCGCAGACAGCAGCAGGCAGCACTTGCTTTTCTCCAAGTAGCTGCGGACAACATCTGCTTTCTGGATGCCACCAGTGACAACATTGGCTCTTCCTCTTCTGATGCTGTTGCCAAGCCTTCATGTTGAGTGCTGCCTTAGTTTTGTCTGTCACCCTATAAAAGGTTAATATGCTGATATGTTAATATATGTTAATAGGTTAATATGTGAATAAAAGATTTTGCATGTTCATGTCAGTAAAGGGCAGCTTGATGCCCTGTTGCACTTGCCTAGGGTAGTGCCTTGACATTTTCAGAGGTAGTGCAGGTAATTGTGTGTTGTGGATTGCAACAACCTTCCAACCAGTCTTGGATACTGCATGTTTGTCAGAAGAGCTTACTCAATCAAAGGGCAGACCTCTCCTGAGGAAGAATAACGAGGTTCATTTCCATAATTTAGGGCTGATATGCAAGTCTCCCAGTGTGGCTGGGACAATGAGCTTCATTGCCTGTGTGATGTGCTCTGACAGGCCCTGGAGGCTGCTAGTGAGAAGGAAGACAGCATCAAGGATGAAATCTGGAAGGAGCTTGCACGCATTAAGCACAGTGCCTGGCAGCAGCAAGCGGCCACAAGGGCCAGCGAACGGGCCTTGCTGAGGCAGCAGCTGGATGAGATGTTATCAGAAAGGCACGACAGAAGTCGCGCACTGCTGCGCATTCTCAGTCATGCAGTCCAAGGGACATGCAAACAACCCTTTGCCACCATTTTTTGCGCTGTGTTTTCGTTGCAGGTGGAGCAATTCCGTTTTTCATTCCCTTTCCTTGTTTGCTGCAGTGCCCCTCCCAGCCCGCCTCCAGGCCCACCACGTGACAGAAGATGTGGGGACCGCAGTTTCTGGACCCGCACCTTTCCTTCCTTGAGCAGATGCTTTAGAGTTCATGTTGATGAGGGAAGCACTGCCAGTTGTGGGCCCGATGCCATGGTACCAGCTGATCGTGCACCAAAATTGCAGTTGTGTTGTGCACAGTGCTCATACCCTGCCATCCTTGTTTGCACACACATGCAATGTATGGGCACTCCTAGTGCCAAGTCATGAAACAGCCTGCAGCTGGGAAGCAGTAGAAATGGCATTTTTGGTGGGACCACCTCTGCTGGTAATCAGCCAGGCGGGCACTGTTGGAGCTGGTCTGGCATGCAGTGCATTATTCCCTCTTGCATACAAGAGAATTCGCTTTGCTCCTTACATTTGCCCAAAATGGGGAAACTGATGCCAACAGCACTCACAGCCTTTGTAGTCACCACTGGCCTAGTTTCTGCACACTTGTGTTCAATGGACCCGCCACAGCTCTCAGACATCAAAGCGCCTCCTCTGAGTGCCTATTCTGAGATGCTTGCCACTCTCACCCAGTCCTGCAGTGAGCAGGCATTGGGGATTTCTTTGTGTGCACGGTTTTTCCTTCTGGGCAGTGCTTCCTTAGCATGCAGAGACTTCCTCATTGTCTCTGCAGCTGGTATGGACTCTGCAAAAGCATGGGCATAGGCTTGCATTTTGTCCATTTCTTCCTTCCTTCGGAATCAGTGCATGCATGCTGTTTCTCCAACAGTGCACTCTATTTTTGTACTCCTATCGCACCGAATCGGTGTCAACACAGCGAATTGTCTGTGCATGAAACGACACCTTTGGTCAGTGCTTTGTGTCTGCCATGTGTCCAGGCTGAGGCAGATGCCCTGCACAAAGAGCACACTGAGCTACGCAAGGCCTGGGACCGGCTGTTCGAGATGGCGGCCCGCCAGGACATGCCCCGGGAGCTTCCGAACGCCTTCACCTGTAGGCTGACGATGGACATCTTCAGAGAGCCTGTCTGTGCGCCATCAGGCCTGTCCTATGAGCGGACTGCGTTGTTCGAACACCTCCAAAAGGTGGGGCCTTTCAAAAGGCATTGATGCACTCCTATCTCTGCCCATCCACAGAACATGGGCCAATCTGCGGAGCTGAAGTACATGTGTAAATCGTGCAAAACTGATTATGATTGATGCTAAACTTTGTTGAAACTGCATGCATTCAAATCGTCTAGCCTGAGCTGTTGGTGCCAATTTTCATCTGCATCAAGGGGAGCCAACTGTTCTGAATGAGAGTCATTGTCTGTGCCCAGCCCTTACATCATCGCATCTCCCCATTGTGCTCAGACAACGTGGTGTGCCTGTCAACTGGCTGATGGCCATTTGGCCATTGGCAGAAGCGTTTGAAGTGGCACAAGCAGTTGCTTCCCGCTCAGAACCCCCTCACCCGTATTTACACTCTCAGTGGAACGCATTTTGCAACATAACATATCTGAGGCTTGATGCTTATGATGCCGACAGTATTGTGGATGGGTACTAACAAGACTACGATTTTTGCTGTTTGTATGGGATTGCTCTTTTTGACATTTGTGAGGCAGGCTGCTGGAGGTGGACAATGATCTTTGAAGAATAAAGCAACACGATGCAGGACACTGCCCTCTGCAAACTTGAGATGTGCTTAGCTCAATGTTTTGTCCAATTCTCAAATTTGTAGTTAATGTGGATCTACCCGTTGTTGGGATGCTGATGTTATGCTTAGGCCATTTTTTTGCATGTTCTGCTTGCCAGGTAGGCAGGTTTGACCCAGTTACTCGCACCCCATGCACACCACGCAAGGTCATCCACAATTTGGCGTTGAAGGATGCAACCCAACAGTATCTGGAGGAACACCCCTGGGGGTGGAAAGAGTTCCTTTAGCACTGGTGTGACAGAAGGCTGAGGCCACCGTGATCCACTTGGGATGAATAATTACTTCTCTGGGGTCGGTAGGAGGGGAAATGAGGGCCAGGCATGCTGCAGGATCCAAATTTGGTGCCAGCATTCGAGATTGGGGATTCTGTAAAGGAGAGGAGTCTTATTGGGCTAGGATGGGCGGAGACAGCATCGATCTGTGGTATATAGACAGCCGCAATGGTAGCTTCACATAGATTGTGTGGTACATGCAGGGGCATGGCATCTTTTCCCAGCATCAATTTCTGTACTGCTGCAACCTGGTAGCAGCCCAGGCTTACGTTTGATGAACAATTCTTCTCTGGAATGACAACCAAACTCTTTACCCTTGGCCCTGTCAAAGCCAAATCGAGTTATATGGGCAGGAACAGCCACAGTGCACCCATCGGCCATCTATGCTAACACCAGATTCTAGCCCGCCCCCCAACCTCACAGTGCACATTTATATCTAGACACAAACATAGATATGCACAGTATCTCCTTTACTGTATGGGTGCACCAAAGCAGTATCGACACTTGGACACACTAGCAATGCCATCAATGCTGCTTGCCTCGATTGGTTGTGTTGCATCCCATGATTGAATTGAAACCAGGGTGCCCTCAAAGCATCATGAGAGAAAGTGGCTTGGCTTTCCAAGACTCCAACGCCCACCTCATCGCTGGAACTGTCTCAAGCTGGGCGGGATGCGACAGCAAAGCATTCATGCGTGTTGTGCAGATTGTTGAACGCAACTGGGTACGATGGTGGCAGCCCACGTGCATTCACAGCCGTGACCTGGCCGAAGGCCGCAAGAGGGCTTCCACGATCCATGATGCTCAACTTCCGCCAGTTCATGCTCAAAAATCGTGCAGGCAATCAACAAGCCAGTAACAAAGTGCGCCAAAAGGCATTTGAATGGCTTCAGCAGTCAAAACAATACCAAATGGAACTGCGCAGCACAAGTCGGCGCTGGCCCATGGTCTTCCTCCAGACGCCCGTCGCTTTCGCGTTGATGCGCGAGTCTTCACAGTTGCCGGCGAAGTAAGGACACTCTGTGGGCAAAATGCGCGAAAACGCCATAAAATGCAAAAAAAAGGAAAAAAAACAGAGCCGTGGGTTGGGTCACGCATGTGGATGAAAAAGCAGCGGGGCGTGCTGGAAGTGGCCAAGAATTTGGCCCCCTTGGCCGCTGGGGCACAGCCTTCGTCGCTGCTGCGCTGCGGGTGGGGGATGGCCGTTCGCGCCAGGAGCGCCCGCCTGCCGCCGGAGGTCAACCGGATCCTGTACGTCCGCAACCTGCCGTTCAACATCTCCACCGACGAGCTGTACGACATCTTCGGCAAGTATGGGCCCATACGGCAGGTGAGGCGTTCGGGTCGATTGAAGCGCCGCCGAAACTGTCTGGCGTTGCGGCTGAAAATGGAAATCGTGATCCCTGGGTTCCGAACGCTGCGGGTGGGGGGTAGTTCCTGCTGGATCTCAAAGGTCAAAACTCTATTGTGCAACTGCCAGCCCTCCCAAGATGCCAGGGTCAGAATCTGCCGAAAGCTTGCCCCGCTGGATAAGCAAAAGGGATTTACCTTGGTTATCGACCTCCCTCGATGTTACCAGAAGGCCGCACACATCAATTATTCAGAGAACGTGGGCTTGCATTATTGTTCTGTTGCCTGTTGTCGTTCCATACCATTTTTTAGTTTGGGCTGCACTCCCACTGCCCTTCGTTGAAAAATGGCAGATCTTTTACGACCTCGCACAGATTAAGGTCATGTATGGCCCTCAAAAAACTGGCTGGAAAACTAAGAGTTCACGAACTCGAGAACAGCGAAGCGCAACACTCTTGCATCGCATTGCCAAAATTTAATGATGGCCAGTGTTTGCAACCCTGGAATGCCCCAAGGAGTCACACAATGGCTTAATCTGGTGATGCTATGGTGCAAAGTGTGACCATTTGCGGTGCATCGAATCAGCGCCTCCACATAGCTGCCTGCTTACCTTGTCAATTGACTTGTTATCACTGCGTCTGCTGGTGAGACTGGTGAAGGATTGTTGCTGATTGGTGCTGCTTAAGCCTTGGCCTTTCAAAATGAGTGGTTCTGAGTGCATGCTCTGGACGCCTGCTGTGTGATGTATAGTATGTACACAGCTAAATCCTCAACGAATATGTGCACGTCCACTGCATCCATGCCCATGTTGTACTGGAAGACTCTGATGCAGTGCAGAATGAGCTTGACACCATGAGCAGCTTGCCACTGTTGTTAGCCGCACATGTTATGAGAAGACATGGATTGGAAGCATCAACTTGCAGCTACTACGGAGAAAGAGCAATCGATGGAAATTGGATTTCCACCTTGTGCTTGTACCTGAACCCCCTTCCAACAGCATCAAGATAACAACCAACAATTTTGCTCCTGGATTTTTGGAACAATATCCGACTGCATTGCGTGCTGTATGGTATACAACCGATACTACAGTGTACTATTGCGCTGGTAACACCAGAACCACACTAAAGTACTACACATACTACTACATTCAATACATGCAGGAGTGAAGTTGGTGGTTGTAAGAGGAACTTCACTTGCTGTCCACAGAAGACCGAAATTTACTCCTTTTTAGCAACCCCGATGCTCAGACACAGCAGGTGTCCTGGTGTGCGAAATTGTGCTTCCGCTACTCCTAAAAGTAACAGGTTGCTGTTCTTGTGGCTCCAATGCAACAGCAGGCACTTCTGCAACCTCACAGTGTGTGCTGCTGTGTTTCAGATTCGAGTGGGCTGCACAAAGGAAACAAGGGGAACAGCCTACGTAGTTTATGAGGTCAGTAATGCCTCTCTCCCGTCCTTTAGCGATCCAGCGCAGGAGCACTCTCCACTCAATACGTATGTCAACAAAAGGCAACATGTTGCCCTTGCATCTTTAGGTTGGAAGGATTGTAGAATAATTGGTTTCTGAGCAAACAAAGAAGATGCACCGCTGTTAGTGACATTCACCCAGGTCATCGTTTTCGCTCACGCTCATGAGCGCATGGCCTCCACTATAAGTCGTCTCGATGCCATGCCTTGCAGCCAGCTTCAGGTTATTTCAGTGTTTAGGGAATGAGCTATTCCCTCTCCCCAGCCTGCACCTTCAGTCGGATGTTGTCCACACGTTGCCAGTTGTCTCAGCTTCAGTGCAATCGCAGAATCTGCTTCTGCAACCCTTGTGATGGTGTGATTTGAGTTGATGATTGCCTGTATTCTCTGTGTCATCAGGACATCTATGATGCCAAGAACGCTTGTGACCATTTGTCAGGCTTCAACGTCCAAAACAGGTATCTAATTGTGCTATACTACAATCCCCAGCGGCAGACAAAGAAGGTCGGGACAAAGGAGAAGGAAGAGGAGATCAAGCGCATGCAGACAAAGTATGGAGTGGATGGCGAGCAGCATGCCAGGAATCCACAGCAGCCACAGGCAGCTGCCCGCTAGGTTTGAGAGGGAAAAGTTGGTGAAGCCTTGCACCCTGAGAGACACGACACCAGTCGCTGGTTATCCTGCACGAAAGATGGAGCGTATGGGCGTCAAGGTTTAAGGACTGAACATAGAATAGGATGAGGCGCTGCAAAGACACGGTTGAGTGACACACGACGAGATATTGTCGACATCGGTGCCACATTGGGCAAGCGCCAAACAGCTGGTGCTGGATGTGTTGTTCCTTAAGGGACTTGCAGCTGCTTGATTGAGATTCTGCCCTACAGGAACTAAATTGAGTGACTATTTGGAGTGAGCCTTCCCCTGAGCACACAACCAATGGCACCACTGGGTGGTGGTCAAACTGCAGCGTGTGGAAAGTACAAGAATTTGTTCCTCACAGTGAGACTATAGCAGACTTGTGTCAGCTGCAGCTTGCCTGTATGGCGTGGTTCTTGACACTGGCCTTTGAACGGTCACTGGCAGCGACCACGTAGATTGTTCTGGGAGGTTTAGCACACACGAGGCAGCATCGTTTGAGGTTTGGATGAATGTAGGCTCGGAGGTTGCATTCCTCACAAAGACGGAAACAGCACACGAGACACCGGCATCCCCTCCAATGCCATGCATTTGTGGTTCCGACCCAGAACTTGGAGGTACAGATGCATCATCAGGAACCGCACACAGCGTGTTGGATGTGAGGACGGGAATATGCGCATTTCGATGCTGCATTGTCCGGTACTGACAAGGGTCGATGATCAAGAATTTTCTATGCTGCTGAGGCACGTGGTCGAATTTTCCAAGATGACATTGTGGTGGGGTATCGCCGAGCATGAACGCAAGTGAAGCTCGCATGAGTTGGGCACAGGCGCTGATCGTCAACTACCAAGGTATCAAGGCGCTCTCCAGTGCAGCCACACGCAGTACAGGAGCTGCGGCGATGCAGTGCAGGTATTCCTCATTTATGGTGCTAGACAGATTTGGTGGAGTTGTTTCTTTTCAGTTTCCTAATGGGGAGCTGCTCGAAGAATGTGGATTTCCTCTGTTGTTCACAGAAGGCAGAATGGATCTTGCTCTTGCCCGGGCGCCCGCTTTTCGCAGTGGCTTGCATCACTGCCCTCTCCACCCGATTGTGGGGCCATGGAGTTCAGAATTGGTTGCCCTGGACCTCGGGAGGGGATAGGTCGTTGCCATTCCTCGTTCGAGGATAGCGGCGCGCACCATGCCACTAATCGTTAATTGCTGGCAATCAACCCAAACCGACGACCGAGGGGAAATCAACGTTTAGGAGTCACCTCAGCGTGCGATCAGCGGTCGAACACATGTACTGAGCGCATTGAGAACACGTCTCCATCGTTTGATTCCAGTTCTCCACGACCAACCCGCATGCGCACACGCGTGCACCAATGTTTGTTGGCCATTATGGCTGTGCTCTTTAAATTCTCGACCAGAAAGTTGTTCACAGCGACCCCAAATATACTAAACTGGCAATGGCTGGATGCTAGGCTCCAAAAAGCCAGCTCCCCCAAACGCCATGAAGCGGACTTGTCTGCAAACCATCACCCTGGTTGGCGTCTTCGCCAACTTCGGCTTGCTCCCGGCCCTAACCAATGACTCCAGGAGTGGTGCCACCGCATTGGCAACGCGGCATCACGCTCTTCCTCATTTCTAGCCTACTCTTGATCCCGATCCCGAACAAAGATTAGCAAACCGGTAAGCCGCAGGACGGGAACCCCAAAACTGCCACATCCAGTAGACCCCTTCACGATGACGGAAATTTCTAGCCTATCGCTGTCCGAAACCCATATCCTTCCCATGGGCACTGCCCAACGTCTAACTGTGAAAGGGCACTTCTCGATTTGGCAAACGCCTTCAGCAAGGGTATCCGCCAACACCGTTGACATCGCATCAGCGGAGTCTGTGCAACTCGCAGCATCCGGGCAGCGTCTCAAATGCCCCAACTTCAAGACTACCCTAGACCCGAATGCTGCACCGCGTTCAAGGATAGTGCGGCTGTACGGGAGGCGTCTCCAGCACGGTGACGTCCAGCGGGCAGCACCGCGAAGACGTTCGAAACGCCAGCATGCACGTTTCGGCGACGTCCTCTGGCGACATCAGATGCGTCTTCACAACCTCCTCCAGTTTGGGGTCCTCTTCCACCTTCTTCCTGCGTGCGCAGCCGCACCGTCTCAGCAAATGGCCAATACGCATCGCGCGCCGCACACATGTTGAACATATCCGATGCTCAAACACGAGAAACAACGTGAAACGAAATGGAGCAGGAACAGACGTCAAAAACCCATGACACACAATTTAAGCAAGCCGCATCAAACGCATTTGAGAATCTGGAGCTTGAGAAGCTGAAAATTACTGAGCTTTTCAGGTTCTTCTGCAAGTCAAGTGCATGGTTTCATGCGGCAAAGAAGGTCTACGCGTCGATATTTGGATGTCGCCCTGCAACCGCGATTCGACCCTAAAGTCTGTCTCCATGGACTCTTGGCAGAAAGCAGTGGCGCTCAGGAAATACGTTTTGTGTCGCAACTGTGGTACGTCACAATTCCACACGTCAAGATCAACTTCATACCCAAATTCTTTTGTCAAACAGCCTCAGTGTACATACCCAAACGCACCTTGCTGTGTCTGTGTACACACAGCCTGGATGGACACACATGACCTTCACGTTGTGCGGTCTCAGTGTTGCAGCACACGAATGCGACCAACCCTTCAGTCCATGCTTGGTTGCCGAATACGCACCCCAGCCAGCGGAGGGCTGCTGCCCATAGACACTCGACATGTTGATGATGACACCATCCTGCTGTTCAACCATTTTCGGCGCAAGCAGCCGCGTCAAGCGCATGGGTGCGGCAAGGTTGATGGCGATCATCTGTGGAAGGGGACCATCCAACAAGATGGAACATCAATGCTGCGGTAATTGAATTGGCAATTAAAGGCTCACCATTTGCAATGAATTGCCACTGTCCACTGTTTATCTAACGAAGCAAAGCAGTGTGTTTGCAGCACCTTCGCTTGAAAGACTGTTCAAACTACCTAACAGTACCACAAGGGTCCTAATTGACACCACGATCCTCGATTACCAATTGTCCTGCATTTTTATACTTTCTCCCCTTGCATGAAGTAAGGATTCAATATCTGAGATGTGCTGTGTGTCTGCTTGTTGGCAGGGGGGCATATTGCCTCTCGACTACAAGCGCCCTTGTGCATCGCTGCACACATTCATTGATGCTTGGGACTTTGGCAAATTCATTCATCGAAGCTGCATTGCAGCTCCTTGTGAGCTATAGTTCTCCAGCAAGCAGGCACAAATCAATAGATCATCCAGCTGGCACCCTTGCAACCAATTACTTGCCATGTTTTGTTGTTGAATCGCCCAGGCATTCTGGTTATTATTGTGCCTCAAGATCCAAAAGCAAAACAACTGACAAAGGCCAGGGGTCTGAGCAGAGTGTCTATGGGATGCCATACCTTCAGCATCCCTTCCTCCCCACTTCACCAATCTTTACCCCTGGCCACCCACACCTTCTCCAGTGCTCTAACAACGCTCAAAATGGTGTCCTGCGCCCAACTGTGATAGTGCTTTGTTCTTTCATGCGCTAGCCCCACAAACAGGGGAAGTCGTCGCATGCGTTGGTGCCACTCCAGCGCCGTCGCCTCCGCAAGAAAAACTCACGCGCTGTGAATCTACGTTGCTCTCAGCGCAACGGCAACAATGCCTCGGCAGCGTGGCTCTCAAGCCCCGATCGGATGTTCCCGTTGCCCCACCCGCAGCAACGACCTTTCGGACAACTTCGTGCTTCCGAGACCCGGCCTGCGACTCCCTCCCCCCAACCTTTGTCCGAAGGGGCACACCTCCGAGCACACCAAAGAGGGCGCACAAAGACGATTTACACAGCACACAGGTGCGGAGTCCAAAGCGCCCAATCCTGGTGTCCAATGCCCTATGCAACCCTCCTCTTTCAACCCTTCTCTGCGGCGCATCCTCCTTTCAAACGCGCGTTGCGATCTTCACGCGCCCCAAACCAACCAAGATCAACACCCGTGTCCCACCTCGGCAGTTGATCAATCATTGTACGACGAGAAGAATCGGAGATCTGGGCCCCCCACCTTGTCGAATTCGTCGGGATCCCCCTCCAGGGGAGAGTTGGCCCGCACGCTGTACGCCGCGTTGTTCACCAGCACGTCCACCGTCCCGCACCTGGCCACCGCACAGCGCAGACCGCACAGATCACATATCACATGTGTCCCCTCTCACCCCGCTGGGAACGCTCTGCTCCTCGTTCGTTTTACGCAGCCCTGCGCTTGCCACTTCTTGTCTCGGAGCTCCCTCCTATGGCGCCTGAAACACTGACGGAAAGGGGGGATCCGCCACGTCGCTTTGCAACGACATCCTGCCCTCTCGCCCCGCGCTTCCACCGCGGCACACTAGTCCGTTCGCTGCGTTCATTCCGCGCGTTCGCTTCAGGTCGGCAGGCGCAAAAAGGGCCAAGGCCATGGCGCAGCGCGAAAACGACGCAGCGCGCTCTTGTGTGATGACCGAGTTTGCCCACGCATTTCCTGCATAGCCGTCATTGCGAGTTGTTGCCGCTGGGGTGCGAGGCTCGACCATGAACACGATCACTTCATATCAACAGGCGCAAAAAGAGCTGCAGTGTCCAAAGACACCAGCCACAAGGCTCCCAGCCACCCGCGCTGAGCCCCACTCAGCTCAACAACCTCCCCCCAGAAGGCTCATCGGAATCCGACGAAATGCAATCCGCTGGTTTGCCCCACCTCGCCAGGGCGTCCCTCGCTAGGCCGTCCACCGCGATCGGGTCCGCCAGATCAACGGTATGGGTGGCGACCTCACCGGCGCCGGCGGCCGTGCACGCCTGAGCCGCACCAGCCAGGGCCGCCTCATCTCTCGCCACCAAGATCAGCGACGCGCCCTCCTTGGCGAAGGCCAGCGCTATGGCCTGGCCGATGCCGCGGTTGCCGCCGGTCACGAGGCACCACTTGCCCTTGAGCATGGATGGCGGTGGTCGGTGGTCGACAGGGTCACGGCGAGGGGGGTGGACGTAGTGGCAAGCAAGAGGGCGCAGGACTGGGCCGGTTTGGGCGTCGAGGGGCGAAGGTGGGAGGGACTACTCTAAACTACTCAACCCTTCCGCATGGTAACGTAACGCTGGGCCCTTTTTCGCGGAGTCGGTGAATAAAAAATAACGGTGCCGGGGGAAAATGCGGAGCAGCCAAATTTAGTAACGCTCTGGGCGGGGCTTCGGGATCACGTGGCGCCTGGCAGCCCCTTGGCGATCGATGGGCAGGCAGGCAGACGCCTGCCGCTTGCAATCCGGGCGGCGGGGAGAGGGGGCGCTGACGCCGAACGTGCGAGCACGGATTGGCGCAGGCGGGGGGAAGGGGGTGGGCGGCGGGCGGCCGGCGGCCTCGGCAAGTGTGTGGATCCCACACAGCGCCATTCACTCTCCGCGGCTACGCTGGGTCGCTCCACCCAAGAGGACGTCATCCATGCCACTCGACGGGACCGGTAGAACTGCACTTTCTTCCCCGCCCCCAACCGCCCACCCACACACACACGCAGTTGAGGTGAACCGCTATTCACTCAAAACAGGAAACAGAACCGTCCCCAGGACGGCTGGTGTCTCATGGTGCACGAACGTACGAGGCTTGGGACTGGTCCGTTGCACCTGAAGCTTGGGATACAGCCTCTGGGGCCCCACCCCGGAACCCGTGCAACATGATGCGGAGCTAAACAAATTATAAAGTACCGATCCGAGACGAAAATGTGGAACAGAGCCACAACGGTCGGGATGGACCAATCCGGAAGGGTTTGAATATTTCAGAGTATGCTGCCTTGGTGGCTTGACTTCTTGATGCATGAACGACGAGCAATGCGCGACTGTGGGTGCACTATCAGTGGCTTTTGTTCACGGCGCGTAAACAATGGACTGGTGGTGATTGTCGGTGTGCATTATAATGTTCATAATTATGAACGGTTTTTGTTTATGCCCCTTGAGGTGGCCTGGCGAAGTTTTCGGGGAGCAAAGCCGACGCTGTCTGCATCCTCGAGCGGTGAGTCGCGGGGTTTGGCTGCAATGTGCGACAGCACGAGTGTTGATTGATTTGACATTCTGCGACTAGGCACCTGGGGCAGGGGGAGCGGTGGCGGGGCGGAGACTTGTCAATGCTTTGCCAATGTCGTGCAAGGCGGCGTGCAAACCTGGAAGCTTCTGCGCTTGTAATGTGCTCGTTGTGATAAGCACTTGCTTGGGTTTACTCGCTGGCAACCTATCCGTCGCTGGGACATTCCTCGGCAAGAGCTTGCATTGATCGGACCTGATGCGACCAATCGCCAGAGCAAATTCGTGCAAGGGAAGGCAATGGTTTGATTTCAGATGACGTCCGGGGATCCCCTGACGTCCTCTGAAATCAAACCATTGCCTTCCCTTGCACAAATTCGCTCTGGCGATAGGTCGCATCAGGTCCTATCAATGCAAGCTCTTGCCGGGAAGGCGGGGAGGGCCATGGATACTATGACATTGCGAAATTGCTGCGAACCAAGCTGGTGTAGGAATTTGATGCAAAGATCTTCGCAGTGTGCGAGAAGATGCAACGCGCGCGCTTTTATGACGTCTGCGTTTGCCAACATGCCACGAAATAACTGTCTTGTGGTGTCCTGGGTGTTGCTGTTGCCGAAGTGCAGGACTTTGGATCAAGGTGGCGGGCTGAACATGCAGTCCATCGCCTCTTCGAGGACGGAGTGTTGAGGGGCAAAGTCGACGGGGATGGGTGGCAGGTGCTCAACGCTAATTGGCGAGATGAACAATGAAACAAATTGGGCAAAATTTCCGATGATTGCTGCGTTTTGTCGCGAGCACCATCACGAAGCCCGTCCATCCAGCCAGACCATCAGTTTTAGAAATGCAGCCAGCCACGATTGAGCTCACGGCGTATTGGGACAATTGCTGGTCCATATCACAACAGCGCCAATTCGCAGAAGTGGTGTTCATCGCATTGCAGCATGCCTAAATTGGCCAACGTAGGCACGCTGTAGTGTGGTGGACAACCGGTTCTGTGAATCGGCGCTGTTGGGGATGCCCGTGGGCGTTGCGCGGAATTTGCCTACATCCTCAGTGCGCAAAATACTTTCAAGCTCAGTTCAGGATCATCTTCGAATCGTAGAAAGCCAACCGGCTGATCCAAGAAAATGGCCCATATCATTTTGTCCTCACTGCAAATTCCACTGCTGGGCTGTTCCCGTATCCGGCTGCCCAACGTGTCTCTTTGTACTCGAAAGGGCCGTTATGGTGTTGTGGACAGCAATTCACCATCACTTTGAGACCTCGTGCTGCTGGTCCGACATTTCAGTAAAAGCGCTAAGGGGCCTTGAGTTGCCCGCGTGACTGTCCGCGAGAACGCTTGACACTGAAATTTCGAACGGGCGGGTTGCGTGGACAAAATAATTCACCATATGGTCTTGACAAATTGGCATAAACGCAGAATCATGTTGTTAAATGCTAGTTTATTCTTCATTCTTCCTCTATCTTCTTTTCTTTCATACTTTTGATGGCAGGTGGCACCCTCAAAAAAGCTGAAACGGTTTTTGGTCATCAGATAGAATTGCTAGTTGATGGAGCTAATATAGTGGTCAAATGCCAATAATCCAAACAACACTAAACAAAGTAAACAGTGCTTCCACCCACGTCTGGCCTGAATGTGCATCGCATCTTGTCCTTTGCCTTTTCAAATTGATTGATTATTAAATCAATGTGGTATTTATATTTAAAACCTAATACTAACACGACAATGAGACAGGGCATTCAAAAGACTCAACTGATTCAAAGTGCACACGCAACTATTTCCAAGTCTATTGTCATGAGTCATTCGTTCTGATTCCACGTTTAGCAACCGACCTAATGGTGTCAAATCACCCAATCTCCTTCTGCCGCAGGAGGAGAGAATGCTTGTCAACTTTGTACCTTATGGCCCGACGGCCATCGCTAATGTATGGGCCGTGGCCACCAGGCAGAGGGTGAGCACGGGGTAGGTAAGTACGGTGGGCAGGGCAGCTGCAGCACCTGTGTCGCATCCAGAGCCAACCTGACTACGACCGTTTGCCACCGCTCGTGTGGTGTCCATGAATCCGTCGCGGACGGTCGCCTTGCAGAAACCCCGTCAGCATTCTGCAATAGATGGGTGAGATGGGGCACGCAGAAGTGACAAGGAATATGCGCAGCCAGGGAGGCAAGAACGGAGGCAACATTGTAAGGCGGCCATGGCAACGGAGACCACAAAGGGCGAACAACAAGGCCAGGGGTGTCGACGGAGTGAATCAGCTTCACATTTGGTTGTTGGGCCATTTTGGGGCGGGCGAAGGGGCGGCAGAGTGAAGTGCGGAATTGGAAGGCCGTTCTTGTGGGCGCCATCATTGGGGATCTTTTGCAAATTCGGGTGCGAGGGAAACGAAATCTTGGACATTCGTGGGGTCCAACAGAGAACGGGGTTTTACGCATTTATATTTTTCTACACGTTTCATGCATTTAGTCAGCTGATAATCTGGGAACGAAATAACGACAAGCCGGGGTGAATTGGTCCGGACAGGCTGTGCACTTGCACTTTGAGGACATGCTGCAGGGTCGACAGGCGCTGCCCTCGCGCGCTTCCATTTATGTGTGGCACTGCTTGCTGGTAAATAATTCTGTGCCCAAGGGCTGCCTCCATCCTATGTATAGATACACATGCTTGCTTTTTATGCTAACGTTTACGTTTTGCGTTTTCCCTGCTACCTTATTCAAGGTTTTAGGCACAAAAACGCAAATCTGCGAACCGGGCTATTTTTATGGTTATTTTTACGTTTTCGCGGCTCGTTGGGACAGACAGATAACGCGATGAAAGCTGCGCACAACGATGAGTCATCGCCATCTCCAGCACCCACAACACAGAGCCCACGGCAAGCCCAACGATGGCAAGGAACTAAAGTTCGTTTTCTACACAATCCAGCGCGCCTGGCTGCCATTACCGGACTCCGCAAGTCTGGATGTACTGTCTGTATGTACGCGGGGCTGTGTTCACGTTGTGTTTACGCCTTTTTACGCGGAAAAACGTCGGAATTATTTTTGCACGTAAGAACGTCATACATGCGATCAGTGCTCACGGAGTAAATAACAGGCCTGGGGCAGACCCATCCCGGGCCACTGGCTGCGCGCCTCACTGGCTCCCCGCCGCGCAAACCCTGCTGCAACGAGCAAAGGCCCATGGCGCAGTTCGAGACCGTGGGGGGTCAGGCCAAGGCCATGGGCATGTGGAGTGCGCTCCGGGACACTGCGCAGGCTTCTGGCGTCAAATTTTCGGAACATTCGGGCAAGCCCACCGCTGAGGAGGCAGCCAAGGACTGGGATGGCAATGGAAAGGTGGCGATCGTGACAGGGCCGTACGCGGGGCTCGGCAAGGAGACAACGCGCGTGCTGGCGCTGCGGGGCGCAGAGGTGGTGATGGCCGGTCGCAGCAAGGCAAAGGCGGACGCGGCCATCGACGAGATCAGGAAGGAGAACCCTGGCGCCAAGCTGCGGTTCATGGAGCTGGACCTGTCCAGCCTGGCGTCCGTGAAGAAGTTCGCGGACGATTTTCGCGCCACGGGCCTGGCGCCCAACGTGCTGGTGAACAACGCGGGGATCATGCTGTGCCCGTATGGCCTGTCCGCGGATGGTTATGAGATGCAGTTCGCCACGAACCACCTGGGGCACTTCCTGCTGACGCGGCTCCTGCTGCCGGACCTGGAGGCCGCTGCCAACGCTTCAGGGGTGCAGTCCCGCGTGGTCACTGTCTCCTCTCACGCGCACCACTTTCCATACCGGGGCGGCCTGCGCTTCGACGACCTTGCCAAGCCCAAGGCGAAGGGTTACAATAGGTCAAGCGCCTACGGCGCGTCCAAGTTGGCCAACATCCTCTTCACGCGGTGGGCAACATCGAGTGCGCATCCTCCGTTTCGGAAATTTGGGTCACCTTCCAGTCTGCAACTTGGGGCCCATCTTAATGTGGCCGTTAGAGGGCGGATGAGTAATGCAAGCAGGGTGGCCGTTGGTCCAGCGCGCCGCTATCAGAATTCTGCTTACGTTGTTGCCTTCCAAGCAAGTGGTGCGTGTGTGGGGTGGAGCATTCTGCATAACCGACAATGGTCACAGCAGCCAGAGATGGCGATCAGCAAGCGCCTGCCTGCGTTAGACCCCAAGACCAACGAGGGACGACTACTGGGGCGAATGTGCTCAGGCGGTAGTCGAGATTTCAAAGTTTAGTTACTCGATTTTCGAACGCAGGGAAATGGGAAGAAACGGCATTTTGCATAGTTTCGCCTTGAGGAACGTGTACCTTCTTTGCTAATCCAGGGTGGGGCGGCATTGGCAACCTTGGCCTCAAAGTAGACAGAAAAAGCCAGCGCCGAAATGGCGTTGCATGTGCTAGAATGCCGTCCCAATGGAATCGCCTATAAAAGGGCGTGTGACTGACTTCAGATGCCGAATTCAAGTGGATGGATGAGGATTGGATCACGAAACGATTGCATCTACAATTTATGTGTGAGGCACTTTTATTGACGGAAAGCATGCAATTCGCGAATCGATTGACAGTGTTCGTTTCGCGCCTGTCAATGTCATCAATTGAATGTTGAGAATGCGTGATACAGTCGCTGCGAGTGTTTTCCTCAGTCAGACGATTGCCAGCGCATCTTTTGTTCATCTCCAATGGCGTTTTTTTGTCCACCTGCAGGGAACTGGATTCTAGGCTGAGGGGCAGGAAATCTGGGGTGACCGCAGTTTGCTCCCACCCCGGCCTCGTCCCCACTGAATTGGCCAGGAACTTCAACCCCCTGGTCCTGCGGATGGCCATGTGGATATTAAGAAAGGTCGCGCCAAGCTACAGGGAGATTCGGCAGGGTGCCTCTTCTCAGGTGGGGCAACCTGCCTTCCCATCAAGAGCATATGAATACATATCAATATTTTTGCTCAGTGCACTCGCAAATGCAACCAATTGGCAGTACCGATGCTCGTAACGCCTGTTTTAAGTTAAGAATACCCTTTTTCACTGGCATATGCTTCAATTGTTTCTTTCCGATGCAACAGCGGAATGGCGTTGGCCTCGTTGACTCGAGACTGCAAAATGATGGCTCACAAATCCGGGCATGAGGCTTGAACGGCTGACTGAATTTTGGCGTTGATTGTGATTGCCAGAGACAGTTGCCCAGCTGTGCAGGCAGCTGTTCTCGCAGCGAACTCTCCACTCAGCTTGTCGTCCAGACTCCCTTCGCAAACTGTCAAGTCCTACTTCTCTTCAGTCTTCCGTATTTGATATTGTCGAAATCCAAATCTGCGTGCGGGAATAAATGCAGCTTTTCAATGCCATGCAGCTGTCCAAATCCGTCACAGCGAAGAAAAGGAAGCTGCTGAGCAAGAATACTTTGATGCACCACAGTGCAAACGATTTCCCTTTTAGGTAGACAAAAGCGTCTGAGAGCTTTACTTGATTGCAGGTGTACTTGTGCACGGCGCCGAAGGTGGACGGGGGGGAGTACTACATGGATTGCGCAATCATGCCGACGTCCAAACAGGCCCTGGATAGGGAAATGGCATCGAAGCTGTGGGGCCTGAGTGAAGACATGTGCACGGATTATTTGGAGAAAGGGAACAGCGGCTAGAGTTGCCCATCGGTACCAAAATGTACGCGTGCTTAACTGCCATAGGTTCGCAGGTATTCGCACCATCGCAAAACACATGAATAAGCTGTGTCTGGGGAATCGGTTAGCTCGGAGAACCATAACACCGTGGATGCCAGAAGCCAGATGCAAGAATATTTGGGGCTGAGGTCAACTTCGATGTCGCTGCACGCGTCCTTTTCCTGGATCCAAAACTGTTGAAGGCCCGTGCAGGAGACGAGGAATGGACCCCAGAACCTGTTGCGCTTAGTTAGTTGTTGGCTCGGGGGCGTTGGCTGCCGCGCATTTCTTCGCGGATGATGGCCACGCTAGAGCAATGGCCGAATTCATTGAAGAGTTTGCAGGCTTTGGTTGACGCATGGGAAACATACCACATTCGCACTCGGCTGATGTGCGCGTTTTCAAGTGTTGCTGAATTTTGGTCCGATGCTGTGTTGCTCAGATCGGCACTTCTTTCTATGACCAGAGGCAGCCACAGTGTTCGGCGCTCGACATAATTTGCTGCGTTTTAGTTTCTTCTTGCCTCTTGGCATTCTCAGGCTGACGCATTTTGTGCAAGGTTGCCTTGGAGGTCATATGGTGATTGCCCAATTAATTTCCAGGGCAATATTCGGTCAACAATGCGTTCGATAGTTTGTCAATTCATGGACCTCGAGGTCTCCAATCAGATGGGTGGGCCCCTTTCCATTTCCGGCAAACTCGGCAAAACAATATCCGACAATGCAAGACAGCTGTGGATATTACCTGCTCATGCATGGTCGAATTGCGACAGCCGTGGCATACTCGCATGGAATGCGCAAGAAATGTTCATCTTCAGTTATTACTCCGTTTCGTGCTGTATCGCCATGTGTGCATCAAACTCTCTCTCCTAGAAAGCAATTTTCAGGAAACATGACTCGATGCTCTGAGCCACCAATGGCCATTCAAGCGCAGGAGGGTTGCGCCTTGGAAAGAAGAGCTTTCCCCCATTGTTTCAGCCATGTGGTACAAAAAGGTGCGCGTGGCGCGCCCAGCCAATTCCCCAAAATGCCCTGCCATTCCTTTCAACCGAAAAGGGAGCTGGTGGCGGCTTGTTGATGGGAATGCCAGCGAGAATGCCAGTGGATGGGAACGGCAGCGCGCCACCGTATCCCAACACACGCTTGAGCAAGTCACCGAACTCGGCGGATACTCACCCCTATTTCCACCAGGTTAGGTCCTAGCGGCCGGCGCCCTCGGACTCCAATCTGGCGCTTGGCCCCTCGTGGAGCCTGGTGACCCAGCACCAAGACTCCAAGCCGGTGGACAGTTTCTCCACTCTCCAAACTTCTCCAGGAGAAGCCCATGCAGACCGCAAGCAGGCAGGGGAGCCGTGCACGCTACGTCTGTGGAACCCGCACATGGCCGGGTGACGCGTGGGCGTGCGTTTGTGTGTGCGATTCCATCGATTACATACTTGTCGTCATCATCATGATTTTTTACAGAACGAGGCAATGAGGTAGCCGTCAGCTTCCTATTTTGCCTGAGCAAAGCAGAGTCGGTGATTGGTTCATTGGAATCTAATGAGAAATACAAACTAAATCTATGCTCTATGAACTTTGGATGGCTAGGAGTGATAATCGATGGCAATACATCAAACGAAGTGTGTTTGCAGGCTGTCATGCTGGAACTGTAGCAAAAAGCACTTTTGCATTGCGACATTGAAAAATACGAAGGTGGCTTCGACGGATGTTATCGTAGGCTTTGCAGTGGAAGAGAAAATGGATCTCGTCTTCAGGTGCCAAGGCATAAAGGACACAATCGCCTTGAAAATTCTGGAATGGATTGTCTCGTTTGGTGTCGTTGATTCTCAACTTCCAGAAAATGCACCCCACAGCGAAAGCGTAGGAAGAAAGTCCTCAAGATATAGGTTGTAAGTTTGACAGGAATCGTTCATATCGGTAGACTGGCTTGATGTGCTTGTACCAACGCATGAGGTGTATACGCTTGATGTGCTTGTAGCAAGGCATGAGGTGTATACGCTTGATGTGCTTGTAGCAAGGCATGAGGTGTATACGCTTGATGTGCTTGTAGCAAGGCATGAGGTGTATACGCTTGATGTGCTTGTACGCTTGTACCAACATACTTGTCACTACAAGACAAAACAGCGTAATGTTCCGAAAGCATGCTTGTGCCCACCAGGATGACGTGTCTTTGTGCCGGGGATCAGGGTACTTGGCACATTCCACGGCGCGCGTCCCGAAGCCGCTGCGATTCAGTCTGCTACAGGTTCCTACCGGGCAACAGTCGCCGAAGGGCAATTTGGTGATTGCCGCGAGTCAGAGGACGGTGGAGCGCACCGCGTCCAGGTGGTGATTGCTGGGCTCCTCGTCAGCATTTGGTCAGCGGCGTTGGATGACGTCATGCCCAGCGATCCCAACCCAACGTAACTTCCGGTATGCAAGGCGGGCTACGTAAGACGGGCAGTGGTTGCTAGGGTGCAACCCTGACCCTGCTGCACGCAGCTCGAGGCGCGGCTCAGGGGAGAAAGAGGCCATGGCGCAATTCGAGACAAAGGGGACTCGGCCAAGTTGAGCACTTGGGGACTGACGACGGACGTCGCACGCAAGTCGGGCGTCAAGGTGTCCAAATTCACGGGGGCATCCACCGCCGAGGAGGTGGCCAGGCAACGGAAAGGTGGCGACCGTCACGGGGGCGTACGCGGGTCTGGGCAAGGAGGTGGCGCGCCTGCTGGCGCTGCGGGGCGCGGAAGTGGTGCTGGCCGGCCGCAGCAAGGCAAAGGTGGACGCGGCGATGGCGGAGATTAGGAAAGGAAACCCTGGCGCCAAGCTGGGATCATGGAGCTGGCCAGCTCCATGAACTGAGGGCTCTCAGTTGCCTTGACGGCGGCGAAGGAGCTCGAAAAGCCCCGACCCCAAAATCTGGGTCCGGATCGTCGCCCCGATCCACAAGATCAAGCCTCAATTGATGCTGCAAGCCGCGGCCAGTTCGAAGATCAAGGCATTCGAAACGCGTTTTCTATCGCCGTACCTCTTTGCAAGCACACTAGCGACTCCACTTTGAACGGCGTGAGTAGTTTTGCAAGTACGGGTTTGTTTCGCTGCCGCGAAGGCGCCTTCCTCAAAACAGCCAAAAACAGCTGTTTTTCGGCGCAGCGCCCATAAACGACCCTTTTATGGCCAGAGGACCCTTGCTACAAAGTACTGAAGATCTCCAATTCTCAATTAATCGACTTTTGATAGTATAATCCAATCTCACAAGCACAACTTTGGAGTAAATTTCATTGAAAATGATGTAGGCACGATGGAGATGTAACCCCTCAAAATCATAGACGACAATTAATATGGGACGGAGGAAGTATGGTGTCAGCGACACGATTCAGTGAGCGTTTGGAACGCTGCGAGTGTGCTTGTACAGGACGAAGAGACAAGCCGGCTTGTCTATGATAGGGCGCCCTATTGCATCACCTCAGATGCTCCTTATACACGTAGCTTCACAGTTGGTCTAACTTTCTCACGATTTTGCTGGAGTGGCGGCAATCTTGTGGCCTTTTCTCAAGGCAAACCGTTTCAAGAATCTGAAATCCGGGTTCCATTGACCTTGGGGCATGCAGCTCTTCAAGTTCTTACCCACTACTAATGTGCAAATCCAGACTGGATAAAACTGTCAATAATTTTCAATGGGCATTCAGTGTGCTTTTCCGCTTTCTAACATCACTGACCTAGTAAAAAATAGGCTAGAAGACACAGTCCTGACACGGTCTGCTCAAAATCCAACCGTGTACTTTTGGCAAATGTGGCCGCAAAAGCACACAGTCGGATTTCGATCAGACCGTGTTGGGACTGTGTCATGTGGCCTGTTTTCTCCTAGTGTGAGGGGCAGTCCATGTCAAGCCCTGGGTGGTTTATGGTGCTGTGTCGCCCAGTTTGCAAAGCACGCCAAGCTTGGCAAGAGTGGGATACCACCACAAAAATGAGCTTACTCAAATAGGCTGTTCTTGTTGTAGTTGTTGCTGCTGAAAATGGGAACGGTGGGAATCAGACAGGAAGAATAAGCGGATTTTGTGCTGCTTGCTACGGTATTGTAAGATTTTGACCAATGATTGTGTTAAGCAGATGTTTGGCAAGGCTGCCGAAGTCACAAATGTTCGTTACTATTCATTTCCGGATGTGAAGTCTTGAAGTCACGAAGTGATGGGACTATTGATGGTGGACATCGCAGCTTACATTGCATTCTCAATATTATGAATGCTTCAGGAGCAATAACAGATCCTATTCCTTCTCTAAAATATCTGCCTTTAAGGATGCATGTGTGTCAAGTTGTCCCGGCGGGCGCGTTTGCAGATTGTGGCATGGAAAACGCAGTGCTGCATATTGAAAATCTGCATGATATTCGCATTTGTTCGGGTCAATTAATGGGGCTCATCAAAAAAGTTAGTAAAATAATGATATCGCATTTGGATATATGCGAATATCAATAATGATATCTGCATGATATTCGCATGCAAGACTGTATCGGAGAGAGCCTGGTCCCAAAGTCCCAATTATAATATGTTGGAGGCTACCACATTGAGGCCCATGACCGTGTGGTCCCACTCGCGTGGTAAGAAAGGGGTGGGCGACGCGCCCATCCAGTTCGCCAAACTGCAGCGCCATTCCTTCCAATCGGCATAGGAGCCAGTGGAGTCTTTTGAATGGGAATGCCACTGATAACCACGGTCTTGCGCCAGACCGAATTCTCAACATACAGGCAAGCAAGTCACAAAATTCGGCAGAAACGCTGCCCTATTTCCACCAGGTTAGGTCCCAGCGGCCTGCGCCCAAGACCCGGACACCAATCTGGCGCTTGGGCCGTCCTCCTGGTGACCCAGTGCCAGGCCTCAGAACCTGTGGAGAAACCCATGCAGACAAGTGCGGGAGCAATCCACGTAAACTACATCTGGAAAAAGGTGTAGACGTTGATGCAGTGGTGTTGGCACAGCATCGTTGATGCAACGCGGATTGGTGCTGCAGCAAGGCCGGGTATCAGCGTTGATGCAATGGTGGCACACGCATCAGCGCCCGTCAAAATTTGCATGTGGGCATGTGCTGCAGCGTTCCTGGCCATTGCATCAACGTCGACCACATTCCAGACCTGTGGAACCGGCCCACGGCCTTGTGATGTGTGTATCTGTGTTTGTGTGTGGGGGTGGTGTGGGGGTGGTGTGGGGGTGGTGTGGGGGTGGTGTGGAGGGTGGGGTGGGGGTGGGGGTAGGGGGTGGGGGTGGGGGTGGGGGTGGGGGTGGGTCAGGGTTATTGTCGCAACGGGACGCGGCTGGCAGCCAGTGCGCCCCAGTTCACTACCAGTTACCGCTGGGCAACATTCACTGAAGGGCAATGTGGTGATTGAGTCACGGAAGGGCGGCTCCCACCGCACACCGGTGGCCATTGCCCCGCCGATCGTAATGGTGTGGTGATCGCCCTTGGATGACATGATGCCCAGGGGTGAGAACCCAAGGGCGACCTCGCTGTGCGAGACTTGGCCCAGAAGACTGGGCAGCAAGGGTCGTTTGGGGCGCAACCCCAAACCTACCGGCCACTCAGCGCGAGGCCGGGCGGAGCGGCCATGGCGCAGTTCGAGACGAAGGGGGGCTTCGCCACGCTGGGCACTTGGCAGTTGATGACAGACACTGCGCACAAGTCGGGCATCAAGGTGTCGGAATTCACGGGGGCATCCACCGCCGAGGAGGTGGCCAAGGACTGGGATGGGAAGGGAAATGTTGTGATCGTCACAGGGGCGTACGCGGGTCTGGGCAAGGAGGCGACGCGCGTGCTGGCGCTTCGCGGCGCCGAGGTGGTGATGGCCGGGCGCAGCAAGGCCAAGGCGGACGCGGCCATCGACGAGATCAGGAAGGAAAACCCTGGCGCCAAGCTGCGGTTCATGGAGCTGGACCTGTCCAGCCTGGCGTCCGTGAAGAAGTTCGCGGACGATTTTCGCGCCACGGGCCTGGCGCCCAACGTGCTGGTGAACAATGCGGGGATCATGCTGTGCCCGTTTGGCCTGTCCGCAGACGGGTATGAGATGCAGTTCGCCACGAACCACCTGGGGCACTTCCTGCTGACGCGCCTCCTGCTGCCGGACCTGGAGGCCGCGGCCAAGGCGTCAGGCGTGCAGTCCCGCGTGGTGAATCTCTCCTCGCACGGGCACCACTCTCCCTACCCGGGTGGGCTGCGCTTTGGCGACCTTGTGGAGCCTAAAAAGGAGGGCTACGACGGCGGCATGGCGTACGGGTCGTCTAAGTTGGCCAACATCCTCTTCACCAGGTGTTGCCAGAGCGGGTGTTTGCATCCGCGGTCTCCCAATGGCGCATGTGACCATTTGGGGACACCTGTACCATGTCACCAAATTGAGTGTCTGACCCTTGTCCACACTTGGACCATCTGACCCGTCCACGCGGAGACAGCCATGCACCGTGCTCTCCCGTGACTGGTGGAGGCCATTGTTGGGCTCTTCCGGATTGAAACTTGAAACTATTGAAATTGAAACTTGACAGGCAGAATGGACAGCTAAGCCGCCATAGTGTGGACACCTAAGCCAGAAAATTTTGCAAACAGAAAGAACGCCGGATAACAAATAGAACTGAACGACGTAGCTTTACTTAGCATAATATTGTGTTACACAGCTCATCATTGACTTGTCGATGTACCTTGTGGTATACTTGGAATCTTGAGTATCCAGGCAAGAAACCTATAATCCACAAACATGTACAACAATTGACATCTCTGTGTCATCTTTGGATCAGATGTGAAAATAGCATCGATGGCACATTCACTCTATTCTGACATCGGTAGGTTCCACCTGTCACTGGTAATCGTTGTGCTTTTCCAAATGTCCAGCAAAGAACTGCAAAGCAGGCAAATTTGGACACAGATTGAGTCAGGGAGCCTTCGCCATGCGAGTGTATCAAGGCCATACCCTTTGGGCGTTGCTGAACTGTGCAGCTAGGAGTGCCAGCAGGCACATGGACGCCTATGAATTTGGGCCTCTGTGCAGTGCAGTGTTCGTCGACTTGTGTAAGGCATTGCCAACAAACACATTTCAAACATGCATTCAAGCCAAAGCAGAAACATTGCTGTATATCACGGGAGGTACACACCCCATCTTTAAGTCCATTCTTTGGGAACACGTGGTGATCGACGTCTGGTCCCCCAGGGCGCCTTGCTTGCCATCTGCCAGTGCCTAAACGCACAACGCCCTCAAGGGCAAGGGTTGCACAACTGAGCAGTGCAATATATCAGACCATGTGCTCAGTCCGCTTCAATGGGTTGTTGTGCATGCAGTTGCCCGCCACCACCCCTTGCTCATCAACTGTCTCCCTGTTCTTGGCCAGCCACTCTGTGCCCGCATGCACACCTGCACGAAATAATGTGCGGTGTTGTGTGCTAAACGCAAGCGACGTGTCCTTAGTCACAGCCATGAAAACTGACCATGTTGTCCAAAATGGCTTTTGGCTGCCACAGGGAACTGGACCAGAAGCTGAAGGACAAGAAATCCGCAGTGGTCGCCGTGTGCTGCCACCCAGGCGTCGTGCCCACTGAGCTGGGGAGGCACATGAACTCCTGGCTGTGGCCCATTGTCTTTTGGATCTTGAGCAAGATCCTGCCAAGCTACAGGACGCTTCAACAGGGCGCCGCTTCTGAGGTGATGCTCCCATCTCAAGACAGACATTTTTGTTGGATTGACTTGGCTGGAAGCATATGCAGGAGTGTGCGAGTTCTTTGACTGTGCGTTCTGTGTGGATCTGCACATGCCATGCATGCTATTAGCAAATGATGATTCCGGCTGCTTCAATGCTTGACGTATGTTAGTTGGGAAGCCCGAATCCTCAATGGCGGAGTTGATGTAATTCAGCTTATCAGTGTAAATAACTTAGTTCTGCGTTTTTGTCCAGCTCTGTTGCGGACACCCAGCTGAGTAAGGGCTGTTCGTGTAATGCCAAGCGACCAGCACGATGGGAGCTCACCCCACTGCCTTATTGCAGGTGTACTTGTCCACTACTCCGGAGGTGGAGGGTGGCGAATACTACATGGATTGTGCAATCATGCCGACCTCCAAGGAGGCCCTGGACAAGGCAATGGCATCCAAGCTATGGGATGTTAGCGAAGACATGTGCAAAGACTATGTGAAGAAGTGGTGAACGGCTGGACACTAGGGAATGAATGAAGAATACAATTATCTGCTCGGCGATTACATTGTGTGGCGTGGCTCAATTTGATTCGACAGCTGATGAAGGCGCTGGTGGGCACTGATTGTCTTGCCCCCTTGTGAATGTATGGAAAAGGAAAGTTTGTTGTGTTTTTTCGGAAGTTTACCGAAAATCTGACAAGGCTTGACTCGGTTTTTGAGGCCTGGGCACTTGCGCCACTCTGTTTCACCCTGTTGGGTACTTGTTTACGGATGTGGTATGCGATGGTCTACAATAATTGGTGATGGATCCCTATGGGTTGGTGTCTTATTGTTTGCTGGGCATACCATTGCAATTGTAACGTTACAATTGTAGCATTGTCTGTGGGTAATGTGCACATTGACTTGTAGTCGAGCTCAATACTTTGATGTCGATACTTTTATGAATTTGTTGAATCCGCCGTTGGTCATGTCGTTGCTTGACACGATGAGTGGCACTTGACCACACATAGCGACAGATTGGGTGACGCGACACCACAAACCCCTCAGGGCTTGACGCGGACAGCCGGTCAGCGATGCTAAAGCCCGAAAAAGCACACTGAATGCGTTTTAAGATTAAGCAGTCTGTTGTCATCTTCAGCAGCGGGTGAGAATATGTAGAGTTGCATGTTACAAAGTCAATGGAATCCGGGCTTCAAGCGATTTGCGTTAAGAAAAGACAACAAGACTGCCGCCACCGTTGCAAAATTTTGGGATAGTTAGAACGCCTATGAAGCTGCGTAATTCAAGGAGCGTATGAGGATATGCACTACGGGACTTGCCTTTACGTCCTGTCCAAGCACACTCGCAGTGCTCCAAACGCTCGCTGAGTCGCGTTGCTGACAGCATTACTAAAGTCGAATTCGACAATTTGCAGGCTTCTTGAAATCAAATTTTGAACTTGGCTGCAAGTGAATCAAAGTTACGCAGATAATACTGGAAAGGTATACCCACAGAGAACATAGCAAAGGGATGCCAACAAACAAGAGGAAATTGAACCGTTGGATACCATCACCTATATCCTTTGTTCTCTGCACTGCTACCTAGCACATCCCTTGACAAGCGTTAAAGGTGATGGACATGAAGTTAACTATCCTGTTAATGGGTTTCTGCCAAGGGCGACGATGGGTGGGCTGCACCGGCGATTCAAACGGTGCAGTTTGAACCTGGGGTTTACTCAACCCCGGCCCTTGGGATTTCTGGCCACCCCTAGTACCGTGGGTCAGTCAAAGTACGGTATTCCGAGGTGCCGCCCGCGAGGGCGCCCTCGAGTTTGGCGGGCTTTGGCGGGGCGGCGGGGGCGGCTATTTAGGCAGCCCCTCGGTCCCCCTCCTTATCTTGTTTCGCTTCGCGCCACTGCGTTGGCACAACCCGCAGGCACCGAGTGCCTTGTCCCTCCGGCTACGGCCGAGTCCTTTCTATGAACCGTTCTCCGGCCGAGCAGTGGCTGCACGACCAAGCGGTTCGGTTCAACGACGGTCCGCCTACGGCTTCTCTTGACGAAGTCTGGCTGTCCGACCCCCGGCTCCTACCGCAAGCGGTGACCAACCCGGTGGTCCGACCTCCGGGAGTACGCTTCCCCGAGTGGTTCGACGTCCGCCGCACCTCCGAAGGCGGGCAGCTCGCGCAGGCCCTGGGAGCCAACTCCGGGTACTTCCAGGAGTATCAGAACTGGCCCCCTACGTCGCGTGGCAGTTCGACCTCACTGCCGTGCTGATCGACTTCGTGGCGCACCCGGCCTTCCCCCCCGAATTCCGGGAGGCCCTCCTTCCGTACGTCCACGCCCAAGTGACCGTCACGTCGCGCCTTCAGAGCCTGATCCGCCTCCAGCAAGTCCACGGCGAGCAGAAGGGCACCTCCCTCGACGGTCTGTGGAAGGCGCTTCAGACCAACGTACGATTGGGCGCGGTGCATCGACGGTTCTGGGACCCCTTGATCGACGAGCCCCTCGAGCACATCCGCAAGGAGGTCCTCAATCAGCAGCTCAAGTTGGCGACGAAGTCCGCGGCGGCTCAGCATCAAGCGCAACTCAATCGACAAGCTCCCGCGGCCTCGCCTCCCGGCGGTCCTTCCTCCGGCGCCAAGCATCAGCGCGCCAAATCCAAGACGTCCGGCGCCCCGCCTGCGCCTCCCAAGCCGACCGCCTAGAGGCCCCGCCCTACGCGCACCTTCAGGGCCGGCTCGCGGCCTGGCGACGCATCGGCGCTCCCTCCCGTGTTCTTCAATGGATCCATACGGGGGCGCCGCTCCAATGGGGCCCGGGGGGTCCTCCGCCCCCCTTCGATCAAGGCGAGTACCCGCTCAAGACGCCGGCGGAATGGCAAGCTTGGCGGGAGCTGCGCGACGAGTACCTTCGGACGGGGGCGATCGTCCGGACGGAGCCTTCTTCCAACGCCCGGATTTCGCGCGCCTTTTTGGTGGCCAAGCCGGCGGAGAACGGGACGACCAAGTACCGTTTGGTCATCGACCTTCGGCGGGTCAATCGCCACCTCAAGAAGGTCGGTCTCCGCTATGAGCGTCTGGAGGATTTCGGATTTCTGTTGAAAAAGGATGACTTTCTGGTGGGATTCGACATGAAAAATGCATACCATCACATTCGGATGCGCGCCGATCAAGAACATTTCTTGCTCTTTCGAATGGGTGGTGAGATTTTCGCTTGTAGGGCTCTGCCCTTTGGCCTCTCTCTGGCCCCCTTTTATTTCACTCATGTCATGCTCGTTGTGGTCCGTTTCTTAAGGACCCCCGCTGCATCTGCACGGGCTGGAACTCGGTTTCGATTTGGCTGCTTAGCGGGTAATGACTCCATTCTCCAGTACTACCTAAAGTACTCGCGGGAGGTGCCCGCGTTGATTTTGGCATATTTGGATGATTTTATTGCGGCCATGTCTGATCCGGTTCATTTACGGGAATGGTCCCATTTAGTGCGGCGAGTTTTTCAGGCTCTTGGCATTGAGTTCAAGCATTCCAAATGTCAGTGGGATCCGGTGCAACGGAAGACCCATTTGGGTGTGATCATTGACACTACCCGGTGCCAATTTCTGGTGCCTCCGAACAAGGCCGCTGCGATTGCTTCCCGGGCTCGCGCCCTCCTTCACTCGGGCGGGGTAGTGGCGCGACATTTGGCTCAATTCTGTGGGTCTGCCATTTCGTTGTATTTGGCCTTTCCGCTGGCTCGCTTTTTCTTGCTGAGTCTGTATGAGTTATTACGAGGGAAACGATCGTGGCGGGATCGCCTTCGTTTGACCCCCCAAGCCCGCCTGGACCTTTTGGCATGGACACACATTTCGCGCCTTGCCGGCCGGGCTCTTCACCCGGGTTCGCTGCCCTTTCTGGGCACACTTGCCACGGATGCAAGTCTTACGGGTTGGGGGGCGACGTTTCAGTCTTTGGGCCAGGCGGAGCCCATGCTTGCAAGGGGATTTTTTGATCGGGAGCTTATTCATATTAATGTTCGTGAAATGCAGGCCCATTACGCCCGGCCTGCTTTCGGTTCTTCCTCCTGCGGTATTCGGGACGACTTCCGGCGGGGTTCGTTTTTGTTACAGTGAATGACGGGTAGTTGCACCTTTGTCTCCTTTCCATGACTACCGGGGCCTGATCTCTTGAAAGTGCCGTCGGTTGAGCGGTGTGTACTGCTGTGCCCGGATTCTCTGAGGCGAATTACATTCCCTCGGAGGAATGTCTTGCGGACGGCTTTCCCATTATCTGGACCTCGGAGGACTACCGCCTGAATCCGCGCATATTCCGGGAGGTCGCCCGCAGCTTCGGGGCCTGTTCTGTGGACCGATTCGCGTCCGCCCGGAATGCCCTCTGTGCCCGCTTCAACAGTCAGTACTGGGACGTCGGTACGGCAGGAGTGGATGCTTTCCAGTAGGACTGGAGCGGCACCAGGTCCTGGTGCAATCCCCCGTGGAGCCTCCTCGCGAGGCTCGTGTCCTTCCTCGCCTTACGGTGGTCTTGGCGGGCTGGCCCGGCCAGTTTCGCCCGCTCCGAGCGATCGCCCGGGCGGAGATGTTCATTCCCCGCCAGGCCGACCTGTTTCTCCCCGGCGACCCGAGCCTTCCGGCGTCCCTTCCCCCCCCGCGGTGGAATCTCCGGGCGTTCCATGTGTGCCCGCGCAAGAGGACGCCGCGCCATCTGAGACCGAATCGGAGGAAGCTGTGATTCCCGTCGGAAGCCCCGCCGGCCGACCTGCCGGCGGACGACGTTCCTTTGGAGCCGTTGGCGGAGGATGACCCGCTGTACGGCACGGATTTGGATGGCCTGCTCCGCGACGATCGCTGCTGGATGGAGCGCCAATTTTTACAGTCCTACACGGAGGCCACTCGGCGGACGCTCCAGGCCAAGTTCTCGCGCTTCCAGCGGTTCTGCGAGGAGCACGGCCTCGCCGCCCTCCCCGCCCGGCGGGCCTCGATCTACCGCTACATCCGTTTCCTTCGGGAGGAGGGCAAGGTGGGCGTGCGGTCGTTGCCCCAGTACCTGGCCGCGATTTCGATGATGCATCACGTCGTGGGCCATTTGGGTTTCTCGGCCTTCGACCCGGTCACCCGCATCCTCACCCGCGCTTGGCGACGGGCGGCGCCGGCCCCGGTGCAGCATCGGAGGCCGGTCCCCATTTTCTTGATGCTGCGCATCCTGGAGGTTGGCCTCACCACCGAGGACGGGCCCACCCTTCGGGCGGCGTGCGCAGCCCACCTCGACTACATCTTTTTCAATCGGGCCCAGTCGGGCCATTACATTCTGGTCGACGACGTGCGCCTCGACGCGGAGGTGGTGATCTTCCACGAGCGCAAGACCAAGCTGCGCCCGGGGGAGGAGCCCCGGTCGCGCTATCGCTCCTGGCCTTCTCGCGGAGCACCCGAAGTCGTCGACTTGCTGCGCCGGTGGACGCAGTTCCGCGATCACGCCTGGGCGCAGACGGATCAACCGCCGCGCCATTTCTACCGCCTTCCCGGCGATGCCACCCCTTCGTCC